ATTAATCTGGGCCAATATAAAGCTTGTAAATAAATAAAAAAATTGGTTTATCTCCCACTGGATGATATAGTATCTAAAAGATTCGCAATTACAAACTTATAATTTGTAATAATAAGTTTTGATTTTCTTACGATGTTCTCTTTTACTGTTTGTTTATGATGTTTTGCTTTACTTCATAGACTTAGAAAGTACATACATATAACTTGTATTATACATACAACTTGGAAAATAACACATTGGTAGGTACTTGCCAGATTTGTTTTATATGAACAAAATCATTTTTGTGAAGACGTTTTGGGTGGGTTAAAATGACTCCTCCCGACTGAACTACTACTACTACTACGACTTAACTTTTACTAAGCCCTATAGGGCTGATGTTCAGCCGGAGTTGCGGGATAAGTGAAATAAAGCAAAGCGGCTTTGGCCCAGCGCAGGAGAAGGAACAGGGGGCTTTTTAGTCACTAAGAGTCTGACACTCCCTCCCGCCCCACTCTGAGCGTGAGAAATAATCTGATGATTTTTCCCAAACAAAAAAAAAACATGTCTAAGATCTCGTGAAGGGTTGTCAAATGAGTAATCAACTAACAGTCAATGCTCGTAGTATCATCAGCTTCTATTATATTAGAATCAAATGACCTATAAACACTCCTTTTCAAACGGGATGTTGCTTTTCTCATGAATGGAATCGAGAACTTGTCACATTATCACACACCGTATGACCAACGAAGTTCAACAGTTGACTCTGTTGAACTCGTTGGTTGGAATACAAGTTTCTCTAGCTTTTTTATGGAATATGAGGTAAGCTAGCTTACGTATCGCCTGATGTTAAGTGATCACCGCCACCTATAGACATCGGCAACACCAGAAGATAGCCAACCATAGCTATGATTGCGTTGCTGACTTTTTGATGGTAAGGGATTTAACAGCTAACTACAGTTGGTCAGACTTTTGGTCAGTTACTAGGCGTTAGGGTTAAAATCATAACCTTGAAACTGATGAGGGTTTTTGGGTTGTAAACTATAATATAATTAAGTTGGTACTCGGTTTTATTCGGTATTTTCAAGAATCGGGTCAAGGTCGTATTCGATGTTATCTTTGTTAACAGTAACTGTTGTTAGTTATGTGAATATTTTAATTCTTTCGTTTTATTTTTCAAGTTTTATAAGCCATTAAAGGGTCGTGCTTCAAGTATGATTAATCGGCCTCTTAATTATATTAGCTTGATGCTCCAACACAATTTTTGCGTGTTTTGTAACACGTCTAAGTTTTAGTTTTACTCGTGGTTTTACTTCCAGTTGATCTTGAAGTGCTGTGGCAGCTGGTGTGACTTACAGCGTCAAAATTTTCAGAAGAACGTAACTCAGAATTGTTTGTCAGGATTGTATAACTTTTTTATTTTATAATTAAACCTCCTGATACTGAAAATTTCTACAGATATTTCGGTTAAACATCTCCTATTCCCCAGTCTCCTAATCTTTGAATCCATAAATCCCAAAACATTTCTAACTCCTCGACATTTTAGGTATCCATGGGCGGCGCCGATTGCTTCCAATCAGCTTATAAGTCTACTCGTCAGTCGAACTAACACCAAAAATATTATTTATAAACTCGACTACCGTGAAGCAAAAAGGAAAGTGTTAACATTGACCATTATGTAAGTATGTATGTCTGTGTCTAATGTTATAGATATTTGTTAATTTACTCATAACTTTTGAAATAGTAATCGTAACTATACAAATATGTCATTTCAAGCCTCTTAATCCTCCAGTGGTTGAAGGCTGCGTAACATCTTAAGCCGATAATCGCGTTCTGGGAGACATAAGGTATTAAAAACAAATAAAAAAATTAAAAAAATATCCTTTTAACTTCTAAAACAAGCGTTCTATCAAGACTTTGCTAGTTTTTTACAGAACGTCTTTGGTGTAATAGTTAGTACGTAATAATTGTAACGAATACTTTTTCTTGTTTCGTACTTTATAGAGCGTGTCTTTATTAGTTGGGTTGTAGTTTTTAAACTTTCTTTTAATTGTATTCTTGGTAAGAATCGTTCAACGACGACTAACTCGTTTTAATTGGAAATCTAGAATAGTTGTTAAAGTTTTACTTATCGGCGTTCATACATGAAAAGACTTACCATAATGTATTATATAATATAATTATTTATGAATTTTAGAGAAATAATATAGCTTTTAAAATTATGTGAACTTCGCATTTCGCGTAATTTATTTAACGCTTGTCTAATAGTGAGTTCCATGTACTATGGAGTGTGAGAATACTTGAATCGTGGTTCGTAAAACTCTTCAGCTAATGGACGACCGAAATTGTGTAATAATAAATAAAGAAAAATATTTTGACCGACTCATGATTTTGATATTGACTTTTAATTCCTATCAAATAAAGATCAAACCTCGAGGTGTCGTGTAATAACAACAGACATAATAAATTAGGATTTTAAATCTTACCCTTACTGTTAGTAGTCCAAAATACGAATAATACACAGATAACAATTAGAGTTTTTTAATAAAGTCAGTCGTGGTAGCCCTGAGTATAAGGGGCCCGCTTCTCAAGCATGGGGTTGGAAACCAAGTTTTAAGTTTCGAAGTAACAATGTGACTTTTTCGCTCGGAAATATATTGTACTTTCTATGATTATTTAGACACCACTGACATACGCTGAAGATAAACATTGTGAGGAAACCTGAAATTAATAATTTCTAATTATAAGTTAGAAATCGCCAACCCGCATTGAGCAAGCTTGGTGATTAATGCTCAAACCTTCTCCGTGTGAGAAGAGGCCTTTGCTCAGCAGTAAACACATAAGGACTGATGATGATGACGATGATGATTAATAAAGTGAGGGGAAACTGCTCCGTTTCACGAATGACTTCGCTCGACCGAAGTGACATCACGGCGTGTGTTGTACTTCGCCCGTTTCCCCAATTCCGAGACCTTCAGATCAAACCACAAAAAGCCGGTAATATATTTTGTAATTCCTCGAATATGTGAGTGTCCATTGGGCGGCGTCAATTGCTAAACTTAACACTACTCGTTTGCCGTTCCATTCCATAAATCATAAAAAAGTCACATCCTTTTCAACTGCGATGTTCAAACCACCTACCAAGCGTAGAGAACATAGGCCAGCAAGTCTTAGGTAAACATAGGAGGCCCATAATCAAGAACAGGATTGTCGTGGGCTGTTAATGAAACGCCAAATCGATTTCGGTGTCTATGTTTAGGCACAATTAACACTTCCAGCTAGTGTATTTTTGTTCTATTTTCCCATTGGTCCTAAATATACACATCAGAAGCACAGAATATCTACTATCCAAGAGAAACCTTGCTATAAATACTACGATATTTTTGATTGGATTGGTGACTTTCCTGTAAGATTAGAAAATAAACCCTCAATGGTTGATATCCCTTCTACGTGGCTCCTATTTTGGCAATTTTGCCCATCTGTTGCGATTTCCCGTCACAAAAATATTCTTTGCGTACCATGAAAACGACGGTAACTTATATACTAAACCTTATACAGACAATGTAATACAAAACTTATTTCATTGGAATCGTTATAAGCTAAATTAATACATTGATTGAGTTTTTTTTATGTTCCGTTTTTATTCGCCAGTTCTTGTTGGCAAACTGTTTGCGTCATTTAAGTGTAAGCATTTCTTTTACCTTTTCAGGTATTTAAATCGTCTTGTCGTAAATTTCGGATATACGAGAGCGTGTGTTGCTGGGTAGACGGTGCTTAGTAACATATATGTATACAAGGGCAAATTTTCAAGGACCCTACATACATAATATCTTTGTACATTTAATCGTATGGGGACTCTGATTTCTACAAAGAAAAAAATTGACAATTCATTGTAGTATTTGGGTCCGGGGGATGTTGTTGGGCAACATGACAACATTATTTATTTATTATTTAGGAAGCAAACATACTCTTACAAACTATTGATTACAATATAATTTACACATAAAGACTTTGAGTTCCATAACGTAATATTGTAATAGATAGAATGCAGGCGCCAATATCGAATATGTTAAATATCAATTAGTAACATAAACATAAGAATACACAACATGCATTGTGAGTACAAAAAAAAGTAACAACAAAAAAAATCCTAACAAATATGGGTTTACAGAGTGACTTTTATTGCTGAAACTGACAATATTCGTTTTTTATTTTAGAATATTGACATAATGTAATTAATAGTGTCCGAAAAATAAAAATATTTATTTTGTTTAAATTTATCACTTGATTCTTGATTACTTTTTTTCTTGATTTCAGATAACTAGGTACAATTGCTTTAAGGTTAATTTAAAAAAATACTCGTATGAAATTATAATGTATATCGCTTATTATCTCATAATAAGTTTTCACATCATCTCATAATAGCAATCAATTGATAAATATTGCTAAATTGTTAGATTGTAAGGAGTCTTTAATAATTAACTTAAATGTGTTTATTTTTGGAACGATTGTTTTTATTGGGGTCTCCCAATAAAAACAATTGTTGTATGTGGTTGAATTTTCCAAATTATTGTGGTTAACAAGAGTCATGAATGTCAACTCCTTACAGGAAACCGGCGTGACACAACACGTGAACTGCATTTCGCCTTATGAGTAAGAATAAGGTTTTTGGACCCCAATCTCCAAGTCTACTTGAGAGTCCTGTGGTGTTTGCATAGGAAACGCCGATTGTTTACCATCAAGGGATCCGTCTGCACGTTTTTAGACCTATCCAATAACATATAATTGTCATATTGTTATAAGTTTTTTTTTTATTTTGAATTTTATCCAATGGCTTTTACCCTTAGTACTGTCAGTCTTTGCTGACTAAAAACCAACGTTGCTTCTCTTGTACAGCCACGGAGTCTTGAATTTTTGCCGGTATGTATATGGTGCTAAATACGCACAATATACTTTACATGGGATTTGTAAAGTTGCTTTTGAAAAGTTGGTGATACATTGTACATGTGGCGTTACGTGTCATGATGTACACTTCTACCAACCTCTTCGGGGTAAATTCGTGACAATAAAACACATTTTTATCTACCTAACAGTCTGCAAATAAAAAATGTTAAATTATTCCCTTAACTTTCGCATGTCAAGCAGTTGCCTATCTTAATAATATTCGTAAGTAGATATACAAATAACTCAATCTGAGAATTACCCCTGATACGCATTGCGTCTAATATTATACACATCTCCGGTTGTTAAGAGAATTCGTATACTAAATCGAAGTGAAGCTTCTCTATGTAACCTTGACCTCGCACGTCTGTCTCAATAAAAACTTTACTGCCTACTTAGTCATTCAACATCCTCGCGTCTCCCACACTCGATGCGGGTTCATCATATTACGATAACTGCACATGATGACATAATTATAGAAACTGTTAAAACTTACGCTGCTAGAATACTTTGACCAAAAATGATTGAGTAAGGACAATAGCACGGTAACAGGTAGAGGGGTTAGGCAGACTGAGGGCGGGCGGCGGCGCGGGGCAGGGCGGGCGCCTAGTAGCGAAGCGAATGTAGCCTCCGCATTCGCGCGCTCCTCTCTGACGCGAACCGACGGTAGCGCGCTCCGGACGTCCCAGTTACGTAACGTGACAGAGTTACGACTGGACATCTGTTGAGTACGAGCCTTCGCGGCACGCTTCCACTGCTGTTCACAAGCGCGCACACCATGCAGGAACAACTGTTTAGTCCTTGCGTTAAATTAAAAACGTCACGAACACTTGAAACAAATTATATAGTTTTAACATAATTTTTAGACATCACCAAATTTAAAGTACTGCCAACCGATCCTGCCAATTTTTTTATAAATATTTTTGTCTAATCATTGTAGTGATGCTTGTTAATAAGTTTAGCTTCCAATCTGATAATTATTATAGACTTATAATTGTGAACTTTATAATGGGAGCATCACAAGAGCGAGCTTTGGTCATCAGATCATCATCGCTTTTTGCGCCCGCTTTCACTGCAAGGCCTTCATAGACCGTTAAGTTAGTACATAAGAGAGCAAAAGACTGTAATATTAGTTTATTAATTAGATCGTGGTCGGGAAGTCGACGAATTTTATCTGGGACGGTGACAGTATTTTCAAGATTCGGGACAATATAAGCTCGTGGGTGCTGTGGTGGCGTCAACGCCATCTTCGGATGGGTGCACCGCAGACACCTAGGCCAATCGAGGATGATGACTGCGTGCCACTGCCGAGGGTGGCCGTGGTGGAAGAACTAAGGGAGGTACAACAAGACCGCAAGCTGGAGCGACGACGAGGAGGGCAGGGCCCGCGACGCCGCGGGCTCGAAAACGAGCTGGAAGGTGAGCGTCGGCGACCCCGACGCCGGCCGAGGAAAAAGTAAGTACCGCACCAGCTACACACTTCATACACACATCACACTATCTCAACTGTTGTTAACTTTAAATTGAACATAATAGACATTATCGAAGTTACGGGGTCGTTCGAGTAATAATGTTGGTTTATGTTAAGTTAATTCGTAGCGTGTTGAATCACAAAATAACGGAGCTTGCGTGTGAATTGAGCTTAATATTGTAACCAATTTAGTTCTGCGGTCGTTCTGACATTGAACATTTACAACGTAAAAACGTTCATATAGTGTTGACCTCGGAATAGTGAGCTGTTTGCGAAATCGGCGGGTCTACCGCATCGGCCTCCGTCTACAATCGATCTCCACCAAGATTTCATTATACCCACACCTTAGTTAGTGCCCAACTTTTTTATTTCAACTAAATTATCATACTGAACAATGTCGGCATCTCCTTTGAAACTGAACACGCAAACCTAAGTTTTTGCAAGTTATAAACTTACTTGCTGTACTTTGTTAATAATGTGGGGAGCGCAAATTTGTCATTTGATAATTTTTATTGAGTCGTCTTTGAAGTTTTTAATTGTTGGGTCGCAGTTGTGTTTTTTAATAACGAGAGCTTTGGTGACCGTCACGATGTAGGACATTGAAGGCCGCTTGCAAACTTATCAGACAGATACTTAACTTGTGACTTGTTAGGTTTATTAAAATACGTTGATTGCTTTATAGAATCCGGCTGTTAGCTTGTGACTTATTGACGATTGGTTTGCTTCGGCACTGTTCAATTTTTAAATGAATAATGGAACATTTGACTTAAATTATCTGCTTTATTAGAGTGGTAAATTATAAATACTTACGGTGCAATTTTTATAGCTAACTTGCGATTACGGTTGCCGATAATAACGCGATATGATTACAGCTATTATGGAATATGGATCAAAGTCTGTATTCATTATTTTATGGTACTGAAAGTAGGTAACCTAGCCAATGTTGTTGTTGAGTTGTCAAACAATTCTTAACAACCATCGTTGTATTAATATACCTTTTCATACTTGAGAAAGGGTTGCTGATCCTTTTGACGCAACCGTATTAAAATCTCAATTCCTCAATATTCCATAAATGTATTGCATTCCACAATCTGAGCTGAGGTGGTAGGTCCTTATGTTTAGTAGCTACTCTCGCACGGTTCCTCCGGCTGCTCAGCTCCTACAGATCGTAGCGTGATGTTTTGTTTATTCAACCTATTCAGATAATGTGAAAGGTCCTATCCGAGCAAGACTCTTTGATGACTCATCATCATCATCGAAGGCCTTTAATTGCTTACTGCTTAACAAAGGCCTCTTCTCACAAGGAGAAGGTATGACAGTGTGCATTTACCACCAATCTTGCCCCGGATAAAATAATATTATTAAATTTTGGCATAAAAATTATATTTTATTTAAACCCCAAAAGAAAAATAGAACAACTAAAGTCGTAAAATATTTTTTTTTATACAATTTAAATGCTGTTAAAGTTTGAAAAAAGATATAGGTACCGAAATTGATAAATTAATGCAATTACATTAATGCAATCTAATCATTTATTTAACTTTACATTTTTTATGACATAAGTGTATCTCAGGACAATTTTAACCTAAAATTAACGTCATAAGTTAAGTCAATTTGCGAATGACAAAAATTTTGTATGGAACTCAATATATTTTAATGTGATAGGTCAGCAAACTAGCAAAAGGGTAATACCTGATGGAAAGCAATAAGCGTCGTCACGGGTGTCCATCACTCGCTACCACGGAGAAGTTACAAGTGCGTTGCCTACCTTTTAGGGATTGGAGATTTGGAGATGTTAGGATTGGGCCTCCGGTAACTTCACTCAATCGTCGAAACACAACGCTGTAGTTGCTTCACGCCGGTTTTCTATGAGGCCGTGGTATCACTCCGGTTGCGCTGACTCATTCGTGCCGAAGCACTTTTATCAATTTTGTGTGCACCATTCATCAAACCCCGTACTAAACTTCTACTTTTTTATTTTGTACAAGCTTTTGCCCGTGACTTCGTTCTCAAGGAAAAGTGACTCCCTGCCGATTTTTGGTATAAAAACTATCCTATATCCTTTCTCGAGTTCAGTAGTTTATGCGTGAAGGAAAGGCAGATAGAGTTCCTTTCGCATTTATAATATTAGTTAGGATTGGGATTAAAACCTTCCCACTGATTAGTAAGCTTATATTGTGTCACTTATACAATAACAATAAAATGTGCGCGAGTAGATGTTTTACATGTTGTAAATATGTCACCATATAAGGAAATAATGAACCAGGTACTATGAACATTACTCATTATAAGGTGTCGGCAACTTTATTTAACTTATTTGTGTAACAATTTAATAAAAATTTTTCAAAATGATAGTCTAAAAATCCTGGTTAAATAGACGAACGATAAAAATGTAAGGAGGATAGAATCCGAGATTACGCGCTCACAGCGCCCTCTGCCGGCGAATGCGTAAAAGAATCCATCAGCGTCGTGTGTGGCGACAATGTTAACACGATAGGCACTTTCACGAGCAGCGTTGGTGTTCTTTTCGATTCCCGTACAAAATAAATTATATATGTATATGCCACACGCACTATGTCACACTATAGCTTAGAAACGCTGTAGTTCAACAAAGACTTTAGGTTTCCCTTGGTTATACGGAGACCTTATCGCAACGTATAAAACGAGCCGTGTCCGTACTACAAACATGCTAGGCCACTGGCAATGTACATATACGTTTATCCTTCTTCATACTACATGTGTATGTTCCCTTAGCCTGCTAGAAACTGCGGCGAGTCTCTTCGATGTAGGTAACTCAAGCTATAGACGTACGGTATTATGTACATTTCAGGCACAGTCTGTGGATCTTTGTCCTTCGGCAAACGCAGCAATTGTCTCAGTTGACTGTGTGGGCGGAAAATCATCCTGGTGCTATATCCTCGGCGTAATAGATGTCCAAGTTTGATCTATTTTTCTGATACTGAGGATTGCATGAACTGAGATCCGGATTATTATCTTTAACGATGGGAACGCCGTCCAGGTGGCCAGGTGATAATGGTATGAGTCAGCCGGTCCGTGTGTTGCCCGATTTGCGGTGCACCATGTGTGATAATCGACTGTCTCTTGTGTCTGGCATGTAAGAATGACAACATTTCATCTTTTTCTTTTTCAGTTTTGAGTTGTATTGTTGTACTGGCGTGGATTTTACTTAATGTATATTACTACTACATGTTTCCAGTTTATGATCGTAAAAAGAGAAGCAACGCACTCGAAACTCCTCTGAAGTTGCGAGTGTCCATGTCCATGATTACCAGGTAATCCATCATCTCGTTTGCCGTCAAAGTAACGGGCACAGTAAAATCGAAGAAATTTAACACTGATCCACCATATAAACATACTTTCTTAAAGAAACGTTAATACTGACAGGTCAACAGTCGCATGATTACACTTCTCCTCGGTAGCTGACGGTATGTAAAAAGTAAGAGAGATATGCCAATTTGGTAACAATTAACAGTAGCTGAAGTTTAGCAAAAAAGTACTTACTCCACTTGTAATATGAGTGACGTGGGTGCGTTTATAAACATAAAAGTCCAAAGTGCACTCACATAGATAAAACAACTTGTGGGTCTCACAAATTATTGCTTCGTGCGAAAATCGAAAGTCTTGAACTCGTAACACTCTGAGTAGCACTGAATGTTCATTCATCATCATCACTATTACTCAGCCATCGCTTCAATGTTATCGAATGAAAAGATTGTAAATGTAAAACTTTGCACAGATTTACAAGGAATTTATAAATCTCTAAGCCTAGTAAACTTTTTGATTGGAGAGGCTTTCCGTTAATCAGGCGTCCGCCTATTAAAATAGGCTTTTAATCTTCAATAAGAAAAGACTTAAACCGTCAACGATAGTTACTTCATATTCCAGTTATCTTTGTACACTTAATTTAAAAATGTAGGAATATTCTTTATTTGTTCCTGACTATATTATTTTATGCGATAAGTTGGCAAACAAGCTCACTGATTGATTTGTAAGCAATCGGCACTGCCTATGGACACCCGCAACAGTAAAGGAGTTACGAGAGCGTAACTGGCTTTTTTGAGATTAAGGTTTCGGAGATTTAAGGGCTGGGAAGGGATTGGGCCTCCTTTGACCTCACTGACTCGGCGAAACAAAACGCTGTGGTTGTTGCACTCCGGTTTTCTGCCAGGCTTTAATATCACTCCGGTCGAGCCAGCCCATTTGAGCCTAAGCTTCCCATAAAAACTTAAAGAATTTAATTCTTTCTTTTTTTTCATATATAACGGGGGTTATTCGTTCTTGGCAACTTAAATTATGTTAAACGCTTGATGTTGGTTCATGAAATCGTTGAAATAATGCGAGAAATTATTAAGTAACATTGTATCAATGAAAGTTTTTAAACCGTAATTATATACATTGTTTCACACATTAGAAAATGCCTATAACTCGACCACAATATTATAAGAAGTATCGTGACTGATACACGGTAAAATAAGACAATACCGCATATTCAAAACAACTGTCGCTAGGGTTTAAGAAATGATGTAAAGATCAATCTTACCGTAGATATTATGTCCATAAATGTTATTTATTAATTTTCGTCGTCAATATAAAAAATAACAATTATAAAGTCATCTTAACAAAACCTTTTACAGACTATGACATTTAACATCAAATTTTTAGAAAAGCTGTCGTGAGAAATTTTGATATTTCATTACAATGCTAGAAATTATCAGACTTAGTACGTAGCGAAAAGAAAACTTACACAATACACAAACTATGTTAATTTAAAAAACAAACTTAGTAAGAAGTTTATATTATTATAAAAAAAGCAAGAGCAACCCGAGTCCCGCTCGAATTTTTGGGGGCTCTGTCATGGGATTTGACCCTCCCTTCTTAAGCAAACAGTAGGAACAATTCGCAAAAAATCGTAACTAATTTAAATTAATTTCTAGATGTGTATTACTTTGTTTTTTATTTACATATAAAATGGTACTTCATAAAAGAAGATAAGTGTGGGAGAGCCATGCTTCGGTACGAATGGGTCGGCTCGACCGGAGTGATACCACGGCCTCACAGAAAACCGGCGTGAAACAACCACAGCGTTGTGTTTTGCTGAGTGAGTGAGGTTACCGGAGGCCCTATACTCCCCTTCCCCCCATCCCTTCCCAATCCTTAAAAATCCGAAACCTTCATTCCTAAAAGGCCGGCAACGTACTCGTTACTCCTCTGTTGCGGGTGTCCATTGGCGACGCTGATTGCTTACCATCAGGCAATCCGTCTACTCGTTTGCCGACCTATTACATAAAAAAAAGACTCTGAAATGTGCGATGAAATCAATGTGTGTACAAACAAAGCGTGTAGTTCCAAAGGATTTGCAAAAATATACAAGGATAAAAAAAAACTTGACACGTTCACGCGCCACTTTCAAACAATAGCAGTCGACCTCAATCCATTTGTGTATTCAATAATAATTAACAAGAACGTAAACTGTTTACAACTGCTACAACCACGATCAAACAAACGAAACGAAACGATGAAGTTGTTCCATTGGATGCTGAGACAGCGTGAGTTAAAATTTCAGCTACACTAAGAACGTTACTTCTTCTTTTATGGCATAGGTCAGCAAACGACAAGACGGATTACCTAGTAGTAAGCAATCAGCGCCGCACATAGACACCCGCAATACTGAAGGAGTTACTACAAGTGCGTTTCCGGCCTCCTGTGAGTTATTAGGAATTTAAGGATATGGATGGGGTGGGGAAAGGATTGGGCCTCCGGTAACCTCACTTACACGGCTCAACACAACGTAACTGATACTTTTCTGTGGGGCTGTGATACCACCCCGATCTAGACGACCCATTCGTGCTAAGCATGACTCTCCCACACTTTAACTGACTATTGAAATATACTGAAGTGGTTTTTAAGTCAACGCCAAACAAGCAAAATTTTATAAGAAATTCAATTTGTTTGATAACAAAATAATAGAAAATACATTACTTCTGTTATTTCCTTGCCTCAAATAAATACCAATACAGTAACAGCGGTATAATAGTCCACCAGTAATAATAATAATATATTTCAATAATAAAGTCTCGAAGTTGTTGATGATTCTCTGTTTCTTTTAATTCTTTTCAAGTGTGGGAGAGCCATGCTTAGGCACAAAGGGTTGGCTTGACCGCAGTGACTGTGATACCACGGCCTCACAGAAAACCGGCGGGAAAAAACTAAAGAGTTGTGTTTCGCCGTGTGAGTGCGGTTACCGGAGGCCCAGTCTCCCTTTTCCCTTTCCCAAAATCGCCAAAAACCTAATCCCCAAAAAGGTCGGCAACGCACTCGTTACGCGACGCTGATTGCAAACCTTACGTCTTAATTCATATCTTTTACAAATAATACGCCACAAACCGTAGCAACTTTAAAGGCAATTTATTTTCACTTAAATATGTTGACTCACCACGGTGCCGATGTTCGAAAGCGGAACTGTAATACGAGCAGTCCGCCCATCATAATAATATTCTCTGGGAATGTAGTCACTGGAAGTACAAATGTACATATCTATACTAATATTATAAAGAGGTAAAATTTGTATGTTTGTAAGTTTGTATGTAGGGGTAGGTAATCTTTGGAACCACTGGTCGGATTTCCTGAATTCTTTCACTGATAGATAGCTACAATATTCCTGAGTGCTATAGGCTATAAAACATCACGCTACGATTAAATGGAGCCAAGCAGCGGGTGAAACCGCGCGAGAGTAGCTAGTGTTCGATAATTTAAGTGATTCATCAGGTGTAGTTTATTATATATTTATATATAAGGACCTTGTGGAATGTAGAATAAGATTCCGCGCGTTTAGGCGTTTTGACCATACTTGCTACTGAGAACAAGTGTAACAGATGACACAAAGTACTCATTAAAAAAATCAGTAAATTTACTTTACTGAAGTATAGTTGTATAATTAATCATTATAATAAAAAGCTATCACATAAACGGTTCAAAGTTCGTACATAGCTGTTAAGTGTACGAGGCTAGGTCAACAATTTAATTTATTAAATTGATTGTGAAATACTTTACGTTAAATCTAATACAAACAGAACATTTGCAATACAATGGAATTGAAATTAATACTTTTCTATTCTGAATATTATTTGGGAGTTTAATATATGTGACGATGGAAAAAGTCCAACTCTTATACAATAAGAAATTAAAGGAATCATAAAACCTTACCTACATTTCATATAATAACATACATGAATACTTCTAAGATGACATAAGGCCTCTTTCGCAGTAAAAACGTAGCATATGCCATTTAAACACAAGTCGACCAAGTAGTAGTCAAGTCGATCGAGTGACTAGAACTCAATAGGGCTTGACATGAGCTTAATAACAGTTTCTCGAACGTTAGTGTCAACAAGTGCTTTGAATTGTGTATGCGCTCATTTGATTGGCGCTTAAAAGCCAGTTGAAGGGGCAGGTCGCGGCTGAAGAACAAGATACTTAAAAATTAAAAGTGGAAAGATTTACAAAACATACGGCATCTATACTTATATTTGGTGTTGGTCCATGGGCGATGCCGATAGGTGATCTATGTGCTTCCTTTAAAAACTATTCCACTAAACAAAAATACCGTGGATGTATCAACATTGGTGGAAGCAGTAAAGTAAGTGTCAATAAGCTGTCTCTGAATAAAACCTCAAGCTATTAATTTAGAGCTCATTTAATACATACAGTGTGAATTAGAACCAGCTTGAAAATTAACATCACTACACACCATCAGCTTATGAGTGCTCACTGCTAAGCGAAGGTTAACACGGAGAAGGTTTGAGCTTTAAACACCACGCTTGCTCAGGGCGGATTAGCGATTACAAATTCGAAATCATAAGTCTAAACCATTACACATCGTGAGGCAACTCGGTATAGGTCCAGGTTG